AATACGGAAACTGAAATGGGGACTTTGATGTGATAGGTGCATTTTATACTGTACATACGCTAAAGAATACTATAATAATGTCAGAGCTCCCCGGGTGCTAGTTCGTACACGAAGTGTGTGGGTTGTGAGGGCTGCATACCACCCGCCTGTGTGGATTCACATCAGGCTTGAGTTTCGAATTCAGAATGAAATGGTCGCCGCTTGGTTGACGACTACACAAAAGCTTACTTGTGGAGCGGCTGTGGACGTGGCGACTGTGGGGGGACCAGAGGTCATCTAAAAACACATACGAGAAAGGTTGATGTGATGCAGTTGTGTATTCCTACAAGTTTTGGCCTCTCTGGATGGCTTAGTATTTAACTGCCAGCCTAGTGCCAGATGATTTGCAGCCAGGGAAGAATCTGATTTCTTGTCTGTGTGCTTCGTAGATAGTATCTCTTAATTTGCAGGCCAAAAATCCGATACATGTATATAGAATGTGAAAATGTGTGCCTTTTATGCCGTTGTTATTGGTCATCACGACCAATAATAACGGCATAATGGTTTTCATGGAAGTTGGAAATATGTTTGAGGCATGAATGTTTACATTTTAGATTCATAGGGCGATAATTTTCCATACCCGCTCCTCCAGTGCACATACTACTTCCGTCACTAGGTCCCAAATCTCTTTTTCTCTGGCCTTGCCTTCTGCCCACACTAAAGCTGGTTTTTCTCGTCTTGGCTACATAGGTTCTGATCGGTGGAATATGCTGCCTTCCACTGTTCGCTCTTGTACAGATTATCGCCCATTTGTTCGTTCATGCTTAACCTTTCTAGGGGCTCCCGTAAGAAGACCATAGGTCTGTGGGAAACACCCTAGTAAAATAAATAAAATAATAATAATAATAATAATAATATTTCTGATGAATACCCATTTTCAGCAATAATTGGAAATTTGAGCATAATTGTTCAGCTGCTGTCATGGAAAGGACTGAAGCAGTGAATGTGCAGAAGAACATTGCAGGTGTGGCACGGGGTGGTTTCTTGACGACATATCGCGCATGCCGTCATGAAACTACCAGTTTTGAGGATAAAACAAGGTCCAATAAAATCTCAAATCCTATATATAGGAATCGTGAAATAGGGCACAGGCCTTAGTAATATTGGGCAAGGAGATGAGCCTGAGATGTTAGTGTTTGAAAAAATTATCTTATTCAACTCTCGATATCTACTAAGACCTAGCAAGGAAGAATTGGTCACATACTTTTTGCTATTCTCATGCCACACCCATTTTGAGCTGAAAAATATGACCAAAATCCTGTATATAGGATTTAGCAAATTAAGAGATAAGCCCATTGCGCAATGACGTAATTTGTGCCATAGACACCCCAGACAACCACCTGGGCATAGTCGTCTGGGGTGTTGAGCACTGAACAGTGCATTCCTGATCCCAGTGTACTCACATGCATTACTCATACCTTCCATATTTGGCAATGCGCAATGGGCTTATTGCAGCCTTCGTCCCTTCTGACTTCCTTCTTGGATGAAATCATGAGAACAGGAGCCAAATACGGAAACTGAAATGGGGACGTTGATGTGATAGGTGCATTTTATACTGTACATACGCTAAAGAATACTATAATAATGTCAGAGCTCCCCGGGTGCTAGTTCGTACACGAAGTGTGTGGGTTGTGAGGGCTGCATACCACCCGCCTGTGTGGATTCACATCAGGCTTGAGTTTCGAATTCAGAATGAAATGGTCGCCGCTTGGTTGACGACTACACAAAAGCTTACTTGTGGAGCGGCTGTGGACGTGGCGACTGTGGGGGGACCAGAGGTCATCTAAAAACACATACGAGAAAGGTTGATGTGATGCAGTTGTGTATTCCTACAAGTTTTGGCCTCTCTGGATGGCTTAGTATTTAACTGCCAGCCTAGTGCCAGATGATTTGCAGCCAGGGAAGAATCTGATTTCTTGTCTGTGTGCTTCGTAGATAGTATCTCTTAATTTGCAGGCCAAAAATCCGATACATGTATATAGAATGTGAAAATGTGTGCCTTTTATGCCGTTGTTATTGGTCATCACGACCAATAATAACGGCATAATGGTTTTCATGGAAGTTGGAAATATGTTTGAGGCATGAATGTTTGCATTTTAGATTCATAGGGCGATAATATTTCTGATGAATACCCATTTTCAGCAATAATTGGAAATTTGAGCATAATTGTTCAGCTGCTGTCATGGAAAGGACTGAAGCAGTGAATGTGCAGAAGAACATTGCAGGTGTGGCACGGGGTGGTTTCTTGACGACATATCGCGCATGCCGTCATGAAACTACCAGTTTTGAGGATAAAACAAGGTCCAATAAAATCTCAAATCCTATATATAGGAATCGTGAAATAGGGCACAGGCCTTAGTAATATTGGGCAAGGAGATGAGCCTGAGATGTTAGTGTTTGAAAAAATTATCTTATTCAACTCTCGATATCTACTAAGACCTAGCAAGGAAGAATTGGTCACATACTTTTTGCTATTCTCATGCCACACCCATTTTGAGCTGAAAAATATGACCAAAATCCTGTATATAGGATTTAGCAAATTAAGGGGGCACATCATCCAAAAATTCGCTGAAAAATCGAATTTGTAAATTCATATTGAGTGCTACGTCAGTTGAAAGAGCATGAATAGCTGCAAATTCTCTGAAAACTGTGTCCCTATCTGACCAGCCGTTCAAGAGTTATGGCCGAAAATGTGCCCTTGCAAGGAAAGATTTTTTTGTTGCATGCTGTCATTTGTTGGCAGCACTGTATTTGAATGTGAGCAGACCGTGCGCAACTTGTCGTATTATGGAAACACGCGAAAGTGTGCAGAATTTTGCCCCAAGTCCAAAAAAGTCCAAAAAATCACGTTAAAAAACCACGTATTGGGCTGCACGGCGGCGGGCGAAGCCCGCCGCCGTGCAGCAGGACTTTTGCCAGCACCCTCGTGACGTTGCAGATATGTGGCTTGATTATTGTAGTTGACGTTGATTTAGTGACTTTGGCAAGTTTGAGTCGTGTCAAGAAGTCAGGTAGGATTCAGTACTAGGCAGTAGTGAAACGCGAGTGGCAGTCTTTGCCGGTTTCTGAGGGCATCCTGGATTTGGTTTGCAGCGCTGTGGAAATGGCTTGCTGTGGAGGTCCCAGCACTGGATGTTGTATCAAAGGTACGACCTCGTAGCACGTGCCAAACCTAAAAAAATTCAAAAATTGCCTTGGGTCTGTGGGAGTCCGTGAAAGAACGCCCACTCGTTCCGTTGTGACAAATTCCAGGGCCACGTTGAGGGGCCCTACCCCACCACCCATGGCTGCTTCTGGACTTGTTTTAGGTTTGGGTCCCGCGCACGGACAGAATGGGCACGAAAATGTGAAAAAAATGTAAATGGATTTGTTTGGCTCCTGGGTGGCTCGCACACCGTAGCACTATGCCGGAAATTTGAGTTTTTCCGGCCTGGAAAGCCTGTCAGTGAGACGCAAGAACTTGTAAATCATGTCCTGAGGGCCAGCATAGTGGCAGGAGTGTGTGGTCAAAATTTCACTCAAATCCACTGAGAAACACCAAAGTTACGGTCAATTGAATGCCATATGAAATTTTTGGGTGATGTGCCCCCTTAAGAGATAAGCCCATTGCGCAATGACGTAATTTGTGCCATAGACACCCCAGACAACCACCTGGGCATAGTCGTCTGGGGTGTTGAGCACTGAACAGTTCATTCCTGATCCCAGTGTACTCACATGCATTACTCATACCTTCCATATTTGGCAATGCGCAATGGGCTTATTGCAGCCTTCGTCCATTCTGACTTCCTTCTTGGATGAAATCATGAGAACAGGAGCCAAATACGGAAACTGAAATGGGGACTTTGATGTGATAGTTGCATTTTATACTGTACATACGCTAAAGAATACTATAATAATGTCAGAGCTCCCCGGGTGCTAGTTCGTACACGAAGTGTGTGGGTTGTGAGGGCTGCATACCACCCGCCTGTGTGGATTCACATCAGGCTTGAGTTTCGAATTCAGAATGAAATGGTCGCCGCTTGGTTGACGACTACACAAAAGCTTACTTGTGGAGCGGCTGTGGACGTGGCGACTGTGGGGGGACCAGAGGTCATCTAAAAACACATACGAGAAAGGTTGATGTGATGCAGTTGTGTATTCCTACAAGTTTTGGCCTCTCTGGATGGCTTAGTATTTAACTGCCAGCCTAGTGCCAGATGATTTGCAGCCAGGGAAGAATCTGATTTCTTGTCTGTGTGCTTCGTAGATAGTATCTCTTAATTTGCAGGCCAAAAATCCGATACATGTATATAGAATGTGAAAATGTGTGCCTTTTATGCCGTTGTTATTGGTCATCACGACCAATAATAACGGCATAATGGTTTTCATGGAAGTTGGAAATATGTTTGAGGCATGAATGTTTACATTTTAGATTCATAGGGCGATAATATTTCTGATGAATACCCATTTTCAGCAATAATTGGAAATTTGAGCATAATTGTTCAGCTGCTGTCATGGAAAGGACTGAAGCAGTGAATGTGCAGAAGAACATTGCAGGTGTGGCACGGGGTGGTTTCTTGACGACATATCGCGCATGCCGTCATGAAACTACCAGTTTTGAGGATAAAACAAGGTCCAATAAAATCTCAAATCCTATATATAGGAATCGTGAAATAGGGCACAGGCCTTAGTAATATTGGGCAAGGAGATGAGCCTGAGATGTTAGTGTTTGAAAAAATTATCTTATTCAACTCTCGATATCTACTAAGACCTAGCAAGGAAGAATTGGTCACATACTTTTTGCTATTCTCATGCCACACCCATTTTGAGCTGAAAAATATGACCAAAATCCTGTATATAGGATTTAGCAAATTAAGAGATAAGCCCATTGCGCAATGACGTAATTTGTGCCATAGACACCCCAGACAACCACCTGGGCATAGTCGTCTGGGGTGTTGAGCACTGAACAGTGCATGCCTGATCCCAGTGTACTCACATGCATTACTCATACCTTCCATATTTGGCAATGCGCAATGGGCTTATTGCAGCCTTCGTCCCTTCTGACTTCCTTCTTGGATGAAATCATGAGAACAGGAGCCAAATACGGAAACTGAAATGGGGACGTTGATGTGATAGGTGCATTTTATACTGTACATACGCTAAAGAATACTATAATAATGTCAGAGCTCCCCGGGTGCTAGTTCGTACACGAAGTGTGTGGGTTGTGAGGGCTGCATACCACCCGCCTGTGTGGATTCACATCAGGCTTGAGTTTCGAATTCAGAATGAAATGGTCGCCGCTTGGTTGACGACTACACAAAAGCTTACTTGTGGAGCGGCTGTGGACGTGGCGACTGTGGGGGGACCAGAGGTCATCTAAAAACACATACGAGAAAGGTTGATGTGATGCAGTTGTGTATTCCTACAAGTTTTGGCCTCTCTGGATGGCTTAGTATTTAACTGCCAGCCTAGTGCCAGATGATTTGCAGCCAGGGAAGAATCTGATTTCTTGTCTGTGTGCTTCGTAGATAGTATAAGCCCATTGCGCAATGACGTAATTTGTACCATAGACACCCCAGACAGCCACCTGGGCATGGTCGTCTGGGGTGTTGAGCACTGAACAGTGCATTCCGGATCTCAGTGTACTCACATGCATTACTCATACCTTCCATATTTGGCAATGCGCAATGGGTTTATTGCAGCCTTCGTCCCTTCTGACTTCCTTCTTGGATGAAATCATGAGAACATGAGCCATGTACGGAAACTGAAATGGGGACTTTGATGTGATAGGTGTATTTTATACTGTATGTACGCTAAAGAATACTATAATAATGTCGGGGCTCCCCGGGTGCTAGTTCGTACACGAAGTGTGTGGGTTACAGTGAGGGCTGCATACCATCCGCCTGTGTGTGGATTCACAGCAAGCTTGAGTTTCGAAGTCAGAATGAAATGGTCGCCGCTTGGTTGACGACTACACAAAAGCTTACTTGTGGAGTGTCACTGGCCTGAAGCAAGCGTTCATGCTTCGAGTCCTGGTGGTGAAAGTGAATGGTTTCTTCAAATTTTTCCCGCTCGCACTTGTCCTTCAAACTACTGAATACCCTCTATCTACAGTCAACAAAGGCTAATAACTACTGCGGATATAACGACAATTCGCGAATAACGACAGTATTTCCATGCCCAGAGCAAAGTCCCATCTAAATGTAATACATAATGAGACTTGGGGTATAAGGAAACTTTTCTGATACCCGTCGAGTGTATTCGTTTGGTTTTTGAATTGATGTTGAATGATTCATTTTGTATGAAAGGTGAAGCTTAGCACACGATTACATGCACAAAGGGTACAAAAACATTCAGAAACGTACCGGAAAGTTTTGGTAGATCGTTCGATCATTGAGTGATTGCTGCGGACGAGCATTGCCAAAGAAGGGAACATCTGTTATCCCGTCATGAGATGTCAAGACGCCTGATAGAGAATTGAGCTGAAGCGAACATCGCAGACAGAACTAAATGTATACAAAAGAGAAAGACCAAGGAACTACAAGTTACGCTATACTGTCCACTAACACCACCAGTTACTAAACAATCAGCTCATGCGATAACATTGCACGACACTAACCGACGGCACTGACGTTCTACAACTAACTGGCTAACAGCTCTAGCACATCTTGGATGCGCACTCCAACAGCCTTCCAACTTGGAAGGATCTAAGTTATACAAATAACATAAGGAGGGGAAGGTGAGCGCAACCAAGATAAGCACGAGCTGAAAGTCTCAGGCTCTCAGCTGTGAAGGACAGACTACAAGTTCAAAAGTTTAAAAGTGGCCTGGGAATGACATTCTTCACTCTATACATATATCACTGTATGAAACGTGGACAAATATTCCAGCGGGGTATGAAATCTTTCACAATGGAATGTAGTCAGAAAGCTATGCAGTCAGGCAAACCCGCTGCTGGTAGGACGTACTGAATAAAATCACAAAAGTATTCAGCAAATATTCGAAGCCTGAAGGAAATGCTGAACGGTCTCTGCTGCGATTGCATCTACACTATAGCTCAGTGGTGAGTATCGCTGGCCTCAAGCAACAGTCCCTCGAGTCCTGGTGGTGACAATCAAGTTTTCTTCAAACCTTTCCGTTCTACATTCACTCAACTTTTTTATGAATAAAAAATATTCAGCATCTACGGAATCAATTCTTCAGCATCTACGATTTATCACACTGCATTCAGCGAGCCATACATTGGAAGACGTACCGATGCTGGTAGGACATACTGTATTTGATTCATGACCATCCATATAACCTGCTCATTACACCCTGGCGTAGCCTGTGATCCCTTGTATGTGTAGAATGATGTAAGGTCCGAAGGCCTCAGCAGTGTGGCGAAGTCGATGGAGTGTATATCACCGAAGGCTGAAACAGGTGCAAAGTCGGTACAAGTGCAAAGTCGGTATACGAGAAGGCAAACACTGGGCAGTGTGATTCCCTGATCCAGCTAAGTTAGATGTCGATCTGCAAAAACTATTACATGCACTGCATACGGATCCGTGTCATACCATACAAAGTTTTCGAACCATGTAGCTGTCCTTGATAACTCCAAATGTGACAGTGTACCCCCTTGGGAGAGAGTTATTAATGCATACCCCTATCCACATACGGAGCACCTCTGCTGTTAGAGCCCCATGTATGTACTCTCCCTAGACACCTTTCCGCAAGGAGAGCGCAGACTCCCGAATTTACGGGCTTTGCCCACCCATTTGCGTAGAGTTGCTGTACTTTACTTTGGGCCGATTTCCACTACAGTACTGTAAGTGCCGTGCCGACGATTTGGGTAGGTCACGTGTATCCCACGGTACGAGCTTCAAGCTGAGAGTGATTTACACCTGCGCACAGTCATTCCGTCGGCAGGCCGGATCACCATTTTTATAAATTTCTGACTTTGGTCCTGAGGGAAAATAGCGGGGGAGATGACTGGAGAAAGCTCAAGAATCAACCAATCGAAAAGCCAAAAGCCAAGAAAAAACTTCATTTCAGGGAGTAGTAAAATACCTACTACTCACTGCATTTGACCTCATGGAATACCACGGCATGCCATTTCAACCCCCCCCCCCCCCCCACCCCGCTCGGCCCTCGGCACCGGAATGTCCACGGCGCTGTAGGGCAGGAGCCACGGTATGAACTCGCGCCAAAACTGCCCCTCACGTGAGCAAATCACTATGGGTTCTCACGGCACGGCACTCACGGTACCGTAGTGGAAATCGGCCCTCAGGCTGTGTTTACATGAGGCGTTTCAACCCGGATTGAGTTCGACCCGGGTCAGATTTCAACCCGCCATGTACACAAAATGAATGGCGCGTTTACATGACGCATTGCGCTTGACCCAGGTTGAAATTTCGCCCCGGGTCAAGAAAATCGTACAAACATACTTCTGTGCGTATCTCGCGCCAGGTTTGAACAGCACTGCACATGCAAATTTAGCGCGAACAGATTCACATTACCAACCATACAGGACTCTAGAAGTAGACGTTTGGCGGCATATCAGTATTTGACCTGGAACAACTGTCTTCGTGTAAACGCTCACCTATTTTGTCTATCGTACCGACTTTCAACCCGGGCTGAACTCGACCCGGGTTGAAATTTCTCATGTAAACACAGCCTCAGGGCCGATTTCTACTTTCGTACCGTGAGTGCCGTGCCGACGATTTGGGTAGGTCGCGTGTACCCCATGGTACGAGCTTGAAGCTGAGCGTGATTTACACCTGCGCACAGTCATTCCGTGCATTCCGTCGGCAGGCCGGACCACCATTTTTATCAATTTCTGACTTTGGTCCTGAGGGAAAATAGCGGGGGAGATGAGTAGAGAAAGCTCAAGAATCAACCAATCGAAAAGCCAAAAGCCAAGAAAAATTTCGTACCACAAATGCAAAAGAAAGGAAAAACTTCCTTTCAGGGAGTAGTAAAATACCTACTACTCACTGCATTCAATCTCACGGAATACCACGGCATGCCATTTCCACCCCACCCCCCCCCCCCCCCCCCCCCCAGGCCCTCGGCACCGGAATGTCCACGGCGCGGTACGGCAGGAGCCACGGAATGAACTCGCGCCTAAACTGCCCCTCACGTAAGCAAATCACCATGGGTACTCACGGCACTCACGGTACCGTAGTGGAAATCGGCCCTTAGCATGGAACTTCTCTATCCACAGGACTCACCCGAATATGTCAAGGTGGAGAAATGGCGTAAAATCGTCTCCAGGCCTGGGTGTGCACTGGAAGCGTTTGATGCAACCTACTCTCCACAGTCAGATGAAACACAGATATTCAGATGACAAGAAGTGTTTTATGACGCAAGGAAGCACAAAAACCAGGGTACCTCTCTGAATGTGATGAATCATCAACTACACATCATATGCGGGTAAATCAAATTCAAAACAGTCATAATTATAAGCACTACGAACTTAGAAGTTGCGCTTTCGGCGGTATTAGTTATAAAGTTGGTTATTCCAACGAGGAACACGCGCTTCTTTCCGAACTCGAAACTTCAGTGACTCACGACTGCCACGCAGAGCCCAGGAGGAGCACGTCGCACCTTTCATCTTCAACTTCCACAAGTGTCAAGTTCGGCAAAAAGCGTGTTTTCCTCATTGGGACAACCAACTTCATTATTACAGGTAGACTCCCTTTAATTCGAACCTCAAATTGCCAGGCCCTGACTTCGAATTATCCGGAACTTCTAATTATCCAAATGCAGCCTCATGCACTGATATGTATGTCAAAGTGCTTGAAATCGCATGCTGAATATTTTTTGCACATTTTTATTTGCATCAACGAAACATAGGTGATCGTACCAGTACGCGGTCATGTACAACGGATCATCAAAACACTGGACCGACACAAAATCATTTTGACATTATCTTCATCTTCTAGTGAAGAAGTTGTCAGTCACTGCAGCTTTCCTGAAACAATTTCAACGGAAAAGAACTGCGCTGCCTAATCCGCGTCATGAAAGGCCGTTGGACAGCAGCACGTCGTTCTGAAGAACGGAAGTGGAGCAAAGGCATAGACAATATTTACGACAATAGTGTTGTTGTGCGCCAACATCTCCGCGCACGAGCTGGTGCGGTAAGAAAGGCCATCGAGATCCGCGAAGGGAGTCAGCCACCTGGAAGAAGTCGTCGTCAATCAAACCTTTGCAATTTGCCTTGCACGGGCTTGAATCAAATTTCGAGAGAAGGTGGGTTTCTTGAACGCTATAGTCGATCCTGCAGCGGACCATCGATCGATTTTTGACCTACTCTTGGCTAGAGAAGGAGAAAAGAATGAACTACGAATTACAAGGATAGCAACTCAATCTCACTTCGAAATAAGCGTTCAAAGGACATAGCTAATGAACTGTAAACAGCTCTTCTGTGCAATGATTGGGTTCGAACTATCCAACAGGCGCACTTTTCGTACTTCGAAATACGCATTCGATTTTGACTTGAAGTGACTTGCAGAAGATCGGTACGACGAAAAATTTCGAATTACACGGAATGTTCGAATTAAACCGTATTCGAATTAGAGGGAGTCTACCTGTATAAGCAAAAATGAAAACATTCACATAACATGATAGAGTTAGGGGTGTCACTAGGCGGTGTTAGGAGCCATTTGCATACAACTTCATGTTGTTAAGCCGTTTAAAGCCCCGAGATAAGGCTTAGAGACCGATACAAATGTTTCCATGTACAGTGGACTACAGTGTAATGCAAATGATTCGTGATGTTTAACCTGCTAAAAGAGAGCATGTCTGAGAAAACCAGAACATATGTGCAAGTCGATCTCTCAGATTTCGCTCAAATTTTGCAGGTAGGTTTGCTTTGGGGTGTAGATCGACTTTCCAAAGCCCGCGCAAAATCTTTTGAAGGGAACCATGAAATTTGCATACCCCTCAATATTGGCCCAATATTGGCACGATTTATGGGTCTACAAACGAGCCACGGCACAGCGTACAAGAACAAGCTACAACAAAACTCCATCAAGCCAACATCCTCACCTTAGAAGAGTTCTTGGGGCAGCACCACTTAGCCGCGCCAGCATCCCAGAAGACGAGGGCAATCATCCCTTTACGCCACAAATGATCGTCTTGAAAATAGCCAAACTACAAGCGCTGATTAAACAGCGAGCTACCTCCTCAATAAGCAAACACTTTACACCGGCAGATAGTAGAACACCTCTATTAGCACTGAGGACATGTCCCCCATTGTCCTTTTTGAGTTTTCTTCAAATAAACAATTTTGAATTTTTCCACTCAACCATTCTGAAATACGTCCAAACTTATACCTGTGCAGGAAAGCTTGCCCCTCCGCGACGTCTAGTCAGCAATTTCTACTCAATACCACTCCCAACGCTGCAGAACAAAGTGTATTGTTGACTCTGACAAGGAAAAGCAGCGGTGATCACTTGTCACTCCAAACGACAACCTTCTCCTTGCGCCACCAACATTTTTCGGTGCAACGGTTGATGCAAAAGTGACTGAATTTTTGCGTGTAGTTTTTGGATTTTACTGCAAGAGGAATGATGAAATCACGTGCCTCGTGACACAAAAATGCTAGGCCACACTTGTTTTTTCTATGTTTCTCGTCGGCAAATTTTAACAAAAGGTACGCGGGCGGGCGGAAAAAAAACAAAAGCCAAGGAAAAAACAAGTACAATTTCTACTGAAAACTGTATACATTTTACAATGTACATGTATATGCGTGATTCATACAAGACACTGCGTATACCATGTATACAGTATAGTACTACATTGTACAATCATGTACATGTACTAGTCCCATACATGATTGCACTACATTATCACATCAGCCCACGAATATCAGGCAAACTGCAACAATGTCAATGAGAGCATAAAGTTTGATTACGAGATGGCGAAGAGAACATACATTTATCTGCTATCGCATCAACAAACGTTTCCCACTCGTCATTAATTATTGGTTTTGTTACTTCAACGTTCTTGTGTCCGCTTATTAGGGGTGAAAGTTGGCATTGAGATCCCGAGTTCGAGTACTCTGATTTTCTCCGATCGAATATTCGAGTATCCGAGTATTCTTCATCACCTAAAAATTGCACACCGATGGCCTTAAAATCACACGATACAACCCTGATTGAACCAAGTGACAGTCATTTTTTTCTGGTATATTGATTGGTAGGTCATTTGGGCTCTCTCTACTCGTGAACCACACAGTCTGCACATCAATATCTGCTGACTGCTGCTCTGAAACTGCAGATTTCTGTGGTAAATGCATGTACCATGTATGAACGAGTACTCTGATTTATTCCGAGTATGATTATTTTTCTGAAAAAACCGAGCGAGTACTCGAGTATTCAGTATAATTGTTTCACCCCTACCGCTTATCAAACTCTTGTCTCCATGCTGCTCATCTTTTCCTTGCCATGCGTCTATTGCTTGGATTTTCTGCCTACGACATCGTTCCACAGACGCCAGTTGCCGCGGCACTCGTCCGACTTACTGTTCCGCTGGGACCCACGAGGCTCAGCTCAGCCAGTGAACGACTGAAAGCTTCGTCATGACAGCCTTCATCGCAGAGAACGGACGAGGAGCGCTCCTTTGCTGCATGCTGTGGTGCAAACGTTTACAATTATTGATTGACGCATCTAGCTGCTGCGGCATGTGCAGCGTACAGACATGTACACATGTACGTAGTATGAACTTTTTTTTCTTCCGAAATTTCTGAAAACCTACGCGGGCGATGACGAGAAACATAGAAAAAACAAAGTGTGGCCTTACTTGAAAAAATGACATTGTAAGGGGCCGTCCATAAATATCGATGTTTTTTTAGAGACGATATTGGTGCGTCTGGGGGGGAGGGGGTTTGAGCCATGTGCATGTGCGTCTTTTCGAGCATCAGAAAAATATCGATGTAAATATCTGAAGTTTCGCCGATCCCTGCACGCGGACGTCTAAATGGCTATACAAGAAATGTGAAACCAGCTTCCGTTCGCGGAGCTAAAACTCGCGACACGAGAACAAAATCAAAAATTGGAAGCTGTACGCCCATGGCGAATTTCAAGAGCAAAAGAATGAGCTATTGATTGTGGAAATCGGCCGAACGATGCCTGCAGGAGACCTTTTTCAAGACGTAGAGGCAGTGCGAACAAACACGGACGAACTCCACAAGAGTTTCCAGTCTTCACTGTCTGAACAAGGATTTGAAAAAATTCAAGCCCGAGCGTAGCCGCTTTGTCTATACCAGTACACGATGGCTGTGAGCACTGCAGCGCCAACCCGGTTCGCTCCCCCCAGGCGATGCAGCTATTGCGTGAGTGCGGCGGGATTTTCACGCCTACACCGGACCCTCAACATCCTGGGCACTTCATGAGCATCCAAAAATATTGATTCCATGATCTAGATGTACATGTGCGTCTTCTGGGGGGAGGGAGGGGGGTCAAGGGAGAGAAGCACCAATATCGTCTCTAAAAAAACATCGATATTTACGGACGGCCCCTAAGAGAGAAAAGAACGATCATGCATGAATCATCGTGCGAATCTCGTAAAAATAATAATTCTTTACTAGTACATGTAGAGGACCATATGCGTGTTAAAACAAAATGGCGTCACGATTTATTGAATGTGGTACTTTAGCCTACAGGTTTGTACACACTGTGGGTGACATTGCATACAAGTAGATCAACACATCCAGTACATGTACGATTGTTCTTCCACTTCAAGAATCGTCCCTTCGTTTCACAGCACAGAATAGCTGTCTCTCAGCTGGTAATCAGCAGGGACATTCTCTACTTGCGAAGACTGAGTGATTGCCAGCACTCGCCCTTTCCTTCCACAAGCGATGTATAGAATAATAATATCACTGTTCGATTATTTTTCTTTCAAATCTGAGACCATTGACAGGATCGGAAGGAGAGCTCTACTGCAAGCCAGAAGTCAGGCTGGCGTCAGGCTGTCGTGAAAAGTAACGAATTCAAACCGCTCCTCAACAAAATCATTACAGTTAGCAAAGAAGCTAGTTCCAACCAATCCAAGTAGAGTGACTTTCAGGAACTAATCCAACGTCTTGTTCATTCAAAGACAGTGCTTTTTTCGCTTCTGCACTGACTCTGTCTTTGAGTTACGAGATGTATGCGCTCAGCCGCTCACCTGGGTCACGGCGAAGTGTCTCATTCGCGCTCCCTGCTCTCCGGATCGCCGCAGCCTACAACGATTTGCGCTGGTGGCTGTCGCGTGCGCGCACTCCTGGTTGCCATGGTGCAAAAACTGCCGCCCTCCTAGAC